AGACATCTGACATCAGTAGTAAAATCGTACTTACGAGTTGTACTGTACAAGAAGTACAACATCTATCCTTGAAGCGAAGCAGTCCGCCTGGCGATCATCGTTAGTTTACTTCGTTTTTCTTACGTTCTGTCGTGGTTTGGTCTTGGAATACGAGGGTATGATGAGGTCTTCAGTTCTCACATTGCGTGTCATGGATAAACGTGCCCGACGACTGGGGAGCGGTCGGAAGGCTGGAATATATATCTGTTTACGAACTGAACATTAATATGGAACCCGAAAGACTTTCAGGTTTGGAATGTGTATAGATGAGTGCTAATTCAGGTGTACCTCGCTACCGAATCACCAATATTTGACCAGCAATCTCTGATGTTGTCATTCTCCACTGGCAAACCAGTTCTGAGAGGTATGATGTTAATTGTCGAGGTTGCCGGCTGGGCGCAACGACGGTCGGCCCGCAAGACCCCTCACTGTCCGGTTCGGGAAGCCCAGGCAATGGGCCCGCTGGGCGGGAGTCTACCTGGTAGCATACAGTACATGGCAGGTAAGTTAGGTAGTAGTGTCAGTCGCTTGCTGCAGCTTGTTGCAGCTTGCTCCAATCGGATCACCCAGATTATGCGCGTGGATCCTGTTTGAGGGTAAATCACATGACTTCACGTGCGGATAGCGGCCCTACCCTAGTAGCAGTCACGTGAAGTGTCCCGCACTAATCTGCTTTTGGCGGGCGCAGAAGCGGTGACATCAATTGCCGCAAAGGGCCGCCTTTGGCCTCGCTCCCCTCTTTCGTCATGCCACTGGGCAGATGCCTCCAGCTTCGACTCACCAGAACTTACACGAGCATTAAAGACAGCTGTATCCGCATCTCATCAGGACCAGAATTCCTTGAGTCTGACTATTCCGTGTTCTTTTCGTTGTTTCTCGCACCCTTGTCCTCCCTCTACCCGCTCATCCCCTCCCCCCCCGTTAACTCACTCACTCGGCGGGGCACTACCGGACCTCTCCAGTCCTCAAGTCTGTGACGTACTGTTGCCCACACCCGCTTTTTCTCACCGGAACTTCTTCTCCCCCACCGTCACACAGGGTATCTTACCTGAGGAACGTTCCGCAAACCGCCATTGCCAGCTCTTTTCACTCATCATCCCGTCGCCTATCCTCCCCTCACCAAGTAAATTGCTCATCCCCCGCGTGGATTGGAGCTACAACCCCTAACACACTGAACTCGTCGGCATCGACACGATGGCTGCCCCCCAAAATCCCGTGCAACCCCCCAAGAGACGCCGCATCGCGGTCTTGACCTCCGGCGGTGATGCTCCTGGTATGAACGGCGCCGTCCGGGCCGTCGTCCGCATGGCCATCCACTCCGACTGCGAGGCCTACGCCGTCTTCGAAGGCTATGAAGGTCTGGTCAACGGCGGAGACATGATCCGTCAGGTCTACTGGGAAGACGTCCGCGGCTGGCTGTCTCAGGGTGGTACCCTGATCGGCTCTGCTCGCTGCTTGACCTTCCGCGAGCGCCCCGGTCGTCTGAAGGCCGCCAAGAACATGGTCCTCCGTGGCATTGACGCCCTGGTGGTCTGCGGTGGTGACGGCAGTTTGACTGGTGCCGATCTCTTCCGGTCTGAGTGGCCGGGTCTGTTGGAGGAGTTGGTCGAGACGAAGGAGTTGACCAAGGAGCAAGTCGAGCCCTACAAGATCTTGAACATTGTCGGCCTGGTTGGATCCATCGACAACGACATGTCCGGCACGGACGCCACCATCGGGTGTTACTCGTCCCTGACCCGTATCTGTGATGCGGTCGACGACGTGTTCGACACTGCCTTCTCCCACCAGAGAGGCTTCGTCATCGAGGTCATGGGACGTCACTGCGGTTGGCTCGCCTTGATGGCTGCCATCAGCACCGGTGCTGACTGGCTCTTTGTGCCTGAAATGCCTCCTAAGGATGGATGGGAGAATGACATGTGCTCCATCATCACCAAGGTACCATTAACCCTGACCCATGTTCCCGAGCCCTGTTAACATCTTCCAGAACAGAAAGGAGCGCGGAAAGCGGAGGACCATTGTCATCGTGGCCGAGGGCGCACAGGACCGACACCTGAACAAGATCTCGAGCTCCAAGGTCAAGGATATTCTGACCGAGCGTCTGGGTCTGGATACCCGTGTGACGGTTCTGGGTCACACTCAGAGAGGTGGTGCGGCCTGTGCCTATGACCGCTGGCTGTCGACTCTGCAGGGTGTGGAGGCTGTCCGCGCCGTCCTCGATACTAAGCCCGACTCGCCGTCGCCCGTCATCACCATCCGCGAGAACAAGATCATGCGCACGCCTCTGATGGAGGCCGTGAAGCTCACCAAGACTGTAACCGGACACATCGAGAACAAGGAGTTCGACAAGGCCATGGCTCTCCGCGACTCGGAATTCAAGGAATACCACTTCTCCTACAAGAACACCTCCACCCCCGACCACCCGAAGCTCTTGCTCCCTGAGAACAAGGTAAGAAGACTGCTGCGAGGTTTTCGGCACGTGTGCTGATCGAATACAGAGAATGCGCATCGCGATTGTGCACGTCGGTGCCCCCGCTGGTGGTATGAACCAGGCCACCCGCGCCGCCGTCGCCTACTGTCTGACCCGCGGCCACACCCCGCTTGCGATCCACAACGGCTTCCCCGGTCTCTGCCGCCACCACGCCGACACCCCGGTCAGCTCCGTCCGCGAGATCAAGTGGATCGAGTCGGACAGCTGGGTCAACGAGGGAGGATCCGACATCGGAACGAACCGCAGCCTGCCCGGCGAGGACCTGGAGACGACCGCCAAGTGCTTCGAGAAGTTCAAGTTCGATGCGCTGTTCGTCGTCGGTGGGTTCGAGGCCTTCACTGCGGTCAGCCAGCTGCGCCAGGCGCGCGAGAAGTTCCCCGCCTTCAAGATCCCCATGACCGTGCTGCCGGCCACCATCTCCAACAACGTGCCCGGTACGGAGTACTCGCTGGGTAGCGACACCTGTCTCAACACCCTGATCGACTTCTGCGACATCATCCGCCAGTCGGCCTCGTCCTCGCGGCGCCGTGTGTTCGTCATCGAGACCCAGGGCGGGAAGTCGGGCTACATTGCCACGACGGCCGGTCTGTCGGTGGGCGCGGCGGCCGTGTACATTCCCGAGGAGGGCATCGACATCAAGATGCTGTCGCGCGACATCGACTTCCTGCGCGAGAGCTTCACGCGCGACAAGGGCGCCAACCGCGCCGGCAAGATCATCCTGCGCAACGAGTGTGCCTCCAACACGTACACCACGCAGGTCATCGCCGACATCCTCAAGGAGGAGGCCAAGGGCCGCTTCGAGTCGCGTGCCGCCGTGCCCGGCCACTTCCAGCAGGGCGGCAAGCCGTCGCCGATGGACCGGATCCGCGCGCTGCGCATGGCCACCAAGTGTATGATCCACCTGGAGAGCTACGCGGGCCAGTCGCCGGAGGAGATCGCCGCCGACGAGATGTCCGCCTCGGTGATTGGCATCAAGGGCTCGCAGGTGCTGTTCTCGGCCATGGGCGGCGCGGACGGGCTGGAGGCGACCGAGACCGACTGGTCGCGGCGTCGGCCCAAGACCGAGTTCTGGCTGGAGCTGCAGGACACGGTCAACATCCTGTCCGGCCGGAGTAGCAAGGAGAACGCGGCTGCCTGGACGTCTTACGCTGCTTAGGACGGAGACGAGACGGACGAGGCCAGGCTGGGCTGGGCTAGAGCTAGAGACGAGCGTGGCATGAGGCATGAAAAGATCGATGCAGATGGGTGTTATGCGATATGGATAATGATTCGTTCATCAATGGACTTGTTGATATTTACCCTCCTCCTCGCACCTTCCCTGTAGGACCCTCCCCGATGTATACCTAGAGTAAGAACCTTGCACCTTCCCGTAAGACCAACCCCGATGTACACCTAGAGTAAGAACCCCCTACCCCCTTTGCACCTTCCCACCCAAACCACTCCTCATATTTACCTAGGGTAAGGCTTCCCGGGGGAGAACCCCCGGACCCCCCTTTCTTTCAGCTTCCTGGTAACACTCAACCTATTTATACCTAGCATAAACACGTTCCGGGGGAGAACCCCCGGACCCCCCTTCTTTTCAGCTTCCCAGTAACACTCAACCCTAATGTATACCTAGCGTTAATGCGTTCCGGGGGAGAACCCCCGGACCCCCCTTCTTTTCAGCTTCCTGGTAACTCTCAACCCTAATGTATACCTAGCGTTAATGCGTTCCGGGGGAGAACCCCCGGACCCCCCTTCTTTTCAGCTTCCTGGTAACACTCAACCCATTTATACCTCGAGTAACGCTTCTCAGTAAACACATCCGTAGTCAACATCGAATGCCTAAAGAATCACATAGGGATATAGACCTCTTCTCTCATTAAATACGCCAAAGCACCCACAGAGAGATATCTAGATAATAACCGGGGGAGACCCCCGGACCCCCCTCTCATACCAAACCAAGCAACACCCTTGGAAGTTAAAGAGAACATATACTAATCATTACCCTGTATAGATCATCATTGAAAGTAACGGGGGGAGACCCCCCGTACCCCCCCTCTTTAATTAAATCAAGCAATGCCTCCTCAGAAGAAACAGAGAAACAAGGTACCGGGGGAGACCCCTAGAGTTAGACCCCCCTCTTATATTAAACTAAGTAACAACCTTGAAAGGTAAATAGAATAAGCATTAAGCATTACCCATTATAAATAACGATTAATGTAACGGGGGGAGACCCCCCGTACCCCCCCTTCTTATTTAAATCAAGCATAATCCCCTAACGACGAGAGATATAAATACAAAATACCCGGGGAGACCCCCGAACCCCCCTCTTTAATAAAATAGCATTAACCTATTGGAAAATTAAGTAAATATAAGAAAGTAATGGGGGGAGACCCCCCGTACCCCCCCCTGCTCAGTTAACTCAAACATACACCCTTTAAAGGAAACTGAAGATATAAGTACCGGGGGAGACCCCCGGACCCCCCTCTGGCTATAAGATAACAATCAAGAAAAAACAAGGCCTCTAGCCTTAGCGATGAAGAAATCCCTCCCCTTGACCAACCTCACCAACCAAGCAAAGGGCACCCACCCAAACCACAACTCCCCGGTGCCCCCCGCCGCCCCAATGGGCACGACCATCATCGCCCTGCCCGGCGCAAAGCGTCTCCTCCTGCCAGTCCCACCAATTTCCACGACCAGATTATGCGCCACAATGGCCGCCTGCTCGCCGGCGCGCTGCGCCAACCGCCCCGGATGCGCGGTGAGATCGCCCGCGGCCCAGACCCCCTCCACCGCCGGCCCGTGCACGCGCAGCTCCTCGTCGACCACCACCCACCCCTTCTCATCCAGCACCTCCCGCGGCAGATAGGCGCTGTTCGGAAGCACCCCGGTCGTCGGGATATACACCTCCGTCTCGAGGGTCTCGCCGTTGTCAAGCGTCACGACCCCCTCCGTCGGGGAGTAGCTCTGGACCTTCCGTCCGGTCACAACGTGCACCCCCTTCGCTGCGAGCTGTGTCGCTGCTGTCCGGCCCGCGCCCTCTGTTAGTCCTGGGAGTATCCGCTCCGCAGCGGAGATCAGAGTTATAGAGGGCTTATGCGGGAGGTCAGCGAGCTCGCCCGCCGTCTCGAGCCCGATCGGCCCCGCGCCGCCGATGACGATCCGCTTCGCCTTCTGGATGGTCGATTGCGCGCTGCGGATCAACTCCCCTAGGGGGGCGGGGGTGGGGTTGGAAGGGGCAGGCGAAGGGGGCGGGGGCTTGAACGGGTACAGCGCCGCGGTCCCAGAATCGGCAGCAACAGAAGAAGGCGTGGTACTCCCCGTCGCGAGGACGAGGTAGTCATACCCAAGCTCCCTCGTCTTCGTCCCTGCGGTAGACGAAGACGCAGCCAGCGCAACGCTCACCCTCTTCGCCGCGAAGTCCACCGCCGTCGCGGCGCCCTCCACGAACTCGAACTCGCCCGCGGGATAGGCGGCGAACCCCGGCGCGATGGGGATGAGGTACTGCTCCGGCCGGAAGGCGGCGGGCTTGGCGAGGATGCGCGGGGCGGCGATCATCCAGAAGAAGTCGGGCGAGGGGTTGACGAGGATGACTTTGGTTTTCTTGGTGGTGGTGGCGTTGTTTTTGAGGAGGGCGTGCGCGATGGGCAGGCCGGCGACGGAGGCGCCGAGGATTAGCACGGTTGGCATTTTTTACTTCTTTTGGTGCCCTTGTGAGGGGAGGATGTAGAATGTAGATGATTTAAGGTACGGTGGAGTCGGATGTCGGTGGGTTTATTGTCTACCCGTTCCACCATCTTATAAGTTACTCTGTAACCTTGGCTGGGGTGGGTGCGAGGTGCCTGTGCGACTAACCAGGCGGAAAGCTTGCGCGCGCGTGTCGACCCACTTTGCTGCAGATCGCAGACCGACAATCCAGAGTCTACTAAGCAGCACTGACTTGCTTGCGAATACGTGGATCGAGATTAGTGATACAAGCAGGCCCGGCTTGGAAATCGCGCGCGGCAACCGGCGTTGATTATAAAGCATCGCTCCCTGACAAACGAACGCTGATAAATCACAACAAAGAATTAGGTCGTTAGACTTCTGCTGCGGGCAATACGAGCCCGACAAGCAACTACAAACACAATCGCCAGATCCTACGACAGCCCTTCCAGCTCATCCAGCTCGTCCAGGAGCTGCACCGTCTCCGCCGGACTCGCAATCCACGCCGTGGTCGACGCCAGCCTCGCCTGGCATTCTGTCAGCCTGCCTGTTCGACCAAAGACGCGACCCCCACTCACCTTGAAATCATTGGCGCCCGCCGACAGGAACTGGTCGCCCACGTGCAGCGTGCGCGCGGGCTCGATGCCGCCGAAGTACTTCTGGCACGCCCGCACACCCCAGGACTTGTCGCCGATGTCCACGAACACGTCGTTGCCGCCTGACAAGCTGTTAGTACTACCTTCGCGGCTGTTCATGGGTCACTCTAATTGAGCTTTGCTGGGAAGTTGAAAGAAAGGGGGGTCCGGGGGTTCTCCCCCGGGAAGCCTCTCCCTTGTGACTTAGGGCCCAGTGGTACTGGGCAGGTGAAAAAGGGGCGCTTACCGTTGAAAGCACAGAACGGCAGCCGGGAGCCGACGGGCGAGCGCTCGACGGTATTCTGCACAACGAGGACGGTCTCCTCGAGCTGCTCGCGGGTGATCTTGCTGCGGTCGAGCGGGTAGACGCCGACGGCGCGGTCCTTGCGGAGGACGGCGACGGGCAGGCTGAGGTTGGCGGCGCAGGCGCGGAGGGAGGACTCGGCGATGTCGAGCAGCTCGGTGATGTCGGCGTCCTGCCAGGCGCGCATGTCCTCGAGGACCCACTCGGAGCGGGGCACGTAGACGAGGCGGTGGGGGGAGTGGTGGTCGTAGCGGAAGAGGAAGTTGCTCTCGCCGCCCATGACGACGAGGCCGGCGCGCTGGGCGTCGGTCAGGCTGGGGGAGGCGTGCATGGCGTCCAGCAGGCCGCGCAGCCGCTCGTAGTACTTGGCGGCCTCGGTGTAGCCGGCGGCGGTGACGATGCCGACCTTGCGGCCGGCGCGGAGGAGGCGGGTGATGCGGGCGATGACGGGGTTGTCGTCGGTCAGGCAGGCGCCGTCGTCGTAGAGGGTGACGTCGCCGTCGAAGGTGACCAGGTCGACGCCGGTGGTGCGGGCCAGCCCGAACAGCTGCGCCGAGTTGAGGATCAGCCGCACGTCGTTGAACGAGGGCGCCACGAACCGCCGCCGGCTGATGAACCGCTGCCGGTCCTGGTAGTTGAAGGCGTCTTCCAGGAACAGCGGCGTGAAGAACGAGCCCACCGTCGGCACCAGCAGCTTGAGCTTGGACTTGCCGGGCGCCTCCTGGGCCTGGTGCGTGATGTGGTCGCGGATCAGCTTCTCCACGTCCCGGAAGATCTCCGCATAGCGTTGGTGGGTGTCGGCGGCGACGGCGATCAGGTTCTCGCTGTGCTCCTGGTAGACGGCGGTGGGCTGCGAGTGCAGGACGAAGGGTACTGCCAGAAGGCCTTTGATCCACTCGATCAATTGGTCCCGTCGGTGGGACTTGAGGGCATATTCAACGCGGTAGCGGGTGGTCATCGTGAGTTGGGTGGGAGGTGTTGACGGGCTGGGTTCCCCGCTTGAAGAGGAGTGCAGGTGCAGTCAATTGGTTATAGGAGATTTCGCTGGGAAGGTCGAAGTCTTCGAATATAAAGTTAGACAAAGAAAGATAAGGCACAGAGGGGAAATGGGGAAATATAGAAGCAAGGAGGCCGAGGAAGGTAGGACAAGGGACGACAGTTGACTAAGTATACAGAGAGGCCAGCAGGAAGAGGAAGAAGCCGAAGCCTCGCTCCTCGTCGGAGATCGCCGCCGCTAACCGTGATTGGGCCGGCGGTGAAGTCATCTGACCTTCACGGTTATCTGCAGGTCTGGGTCACATGACATGTCGCCCGTGACCCCAAGTCTGGCCCAGTCGATGCAAACAATGCAGTGCGAGTATCATACCGGTATCATACCAGGACTGCAGGACGGTACATGCATCTTGCCATGTAGGGACAACAACTTTCCAAGTAAATGTGTTGACTGCCTAAAGCTACCTCAACTCCTATCAGCCAAGCCAAGCAAGCAAGCAAGCAAGCAAGCAAGCCATCCAATGCGTCTAGTTTAGGTATACATCTAAATCCCCGCAGGAAACCAAAAAGCAAACCGGAAGTATCCCCCACCCCCAACACCACCACCAACACCAACATCAAAACATGGGCTCTATAGATGACGATCCCGCACTTTTCACCCCGCACCATAGCTCCTGCCCCGCAAACACAATCATGCAATATTCATTATTCGTTTCAAGTCGTGAAGCGACAGGGGCTTGACCAGATAGTCGTCGATCCCCGCCGCGAAGGCCTGCTGCTGCATCTCGCTCGACGCCACCCCGGTAACCGCCATGATGGCCGTGCGCGGGCGCGAGGTCTCCTCCTCGAATTCCCGCATCTTGCTGGAGGATTCGATACCGTCCATGACAGGCATGGAGATGTCTGGGGTTTCGCCGTCAGTAGCTATCCTGGTGGGGAGCCTGAGGAGCATGAGGAGCATGGAAAGAGCGCTGGCATACCCATAAGAATGTAATCAAAGTGTTTCGTCGACGCCTTGAACTTTTCCAACGCGATAAGGCCATCGGTGGCGGTCTCATAACTGCAGCCGATTTTGCGCATGAAGGTGGTCAAGACCTAGAACTGTTAGCGCATGGACCTAGAGGACAACCCAACAACAGTCTCGTGGAAACTCATGACGTACCTTGACATTGATATCATTGTCGTCGACGATTAACACGTGAAGGTCATTTTGTTTCGATTTCTGCGACATGTCCGGCGCGAAGTCGGACACATTCTCCCGCACCACTGGTGGCGACTCGGATCCCTTGGCCAGGGCGAAGGCATCCGACAGGCTGCGTCCGCGCTGAGCACCGGAGAATGGACCAATGATGTAATCCTGCTCCGCCGAAGGAGCCTGCGGGCGAGCTTCATTGATCCTTTGCAAGGCCTGGATGATCTTCCGCGGACCGATACTATTCGACTGTCAGCAAGGGACTGTCGCCGGATCACGGGCTGATACTTACGGCTGCGGGATGTAGATCACGTCGGCACCCTCGATCGTGAGGTCGGGCGGGATTGAAATACCCTGTTCCCCGATCACAATGACTGTGTTGAACTTCAGTTGAGTCCCGCCCTTCTCGTGCAGCGCCTTCAGCGCGGACTCCTCGATCACCCCAATGTCGCCGGATGCTTTGTCGATCGAGTCGGCAAATGACAGCATCCACCCAGGTTGACTCAACAGCACATTGCTCAACGCGCTCCGCAGAGCCAATTTGCGCTTTGCCTCTGGCCGCAGAAGCCCGTCCGGGGCTTGTCTCAAGTCTGCATAGGCGTTCAATCCGACCAACGAAACCCGCGTAATCGAGCTAGGAACAGGTTCAGACGGCGCGAAGGTCTCCGCCACAAAGTCCAGAGGCACATAGACGTCGACTTGCGTTCCAACGCCAACATTGCTTTTGACTTCTATCTCCCCTCCCAGGTACGTGACGACCTGATTCACCACGCTCAAGCCCAATCCCACCCCCTCGGTCAATATGTTCTCCTGTGCGAATGGCGTGAACAGCTGATGCTCAAGAAACTCAGGCGCAATTCCACATCCAGTGTCTTTCACAGAAAAGTGCGCGAAGACCTTCTTGGATCCCACATCTCTATGCACCTTCTTCGCCAAGGAGATCTCGATATATCCCGACCGAGTGAACTTGAAAGCATTGCCCAGGATGTTCATCACAATCCGGCGCCAGCCACCTGATAATGACTGAATGTTCCACGAGCCGAGATCCTCGATCTGAATAATGACCGACAGATCATCGGGGTTGTTGGTCTTTGCAGCTCCACTCGTCATAGATGTGCCGGTCTGCAGGTACCGGCCCGCAATCTTGGAAGCATTAATGAGAGAGCGATGGCCGACATACAAAGAGTCGGCCACGTCCTCTATGAGCGTGTCCAGGTCGAAATCGGTCATCAGATTGTCAAGTGCACTTCCATTGGCCCCGGCTTTCTTGTGCACAAGGGATAGGTTGTTGATCTTCGTGAAGTCAAGCCTGGGAAAAGTCAGTCGATTGGTGAGATATCATGTAGCTGAACTTACAGATGGTTCACGGTATCCAGCAATGTCAGACCGCACGTCTCAATCATGGTAACCATGTCCTGCTGAGCGGACTCAAGCCCAGTCGACTGCAGAAGCTCCGTGCTTGTCAGCATGCCGTGCAACGGCGACCGCAGTTCATGGCTCACTGAGGAGAGCAGATCCGATTTGGATTTCTCGGTCGCGGTCCAGTCAATCTGACAATACTTGCAAGTCACAGAGTCACCAAACACTTTCAGGAAGTGAAGATCGTCCTGGTCGAACAAGCGATCTTCGTCACAGGTCCATATCAGTGTCCCGGCGAGCCAGCGCGATTTGCTCCAGTTCCACAACGGCAGAAAGATGAAGGACCGGGCTTCGGGATACGTTTGTGCCAGCCGAGTCTCGACCGACTGACGCAAAGTAACGTCGCTCTCCTTCCGGGATTGGCTGTTGCGACGATTCAGCAGTGAGTTAGGCGGTGAAAGATTGATTGACTGTGGAGGGTTGAAGATCTCCCCGTAGGAGCAAGCGTTGAAAAGATCATGGAACAAGCCCTCGGTCAATGCTGGTCGAAGCGAGTTGGCAGTGCTCTCGCTCACCCGGTCGGATGTGGCGAGACCCAACGTCTCGCATGACCGCTCGGCCCATTGTCCATGAGAGGAGAGACTTGGCGAGCGACTGGACATCCCCAAGTCACTATCTCTGGAGAGCATGTCCCAGTCACCTACGCTAGCAGTCGAGCTACTGTGTCCACGTTAGGTAGATAGTTTACTGTGTGAGGACTTTACGCCTTACCTGCGGGAATTAGTCCGGGATGCATCTACGAAGATGACCCCATCCAACTCCATGCACTCTTGTAACAGAGCACTGGCACGAGTGAAAAGTTGTGAGGTTTTCTCCGAGGTGGCGGTATATTCTGGGACAATCACCAGTCTGTTCGTGTCATCCGACCTTTTCCTGGGATTTTGCGACTGTTCCCAGGGCGAGGCCGCCTTAGGGGTGCCTGAGGGTCGACGCTGAAAGAAGGACGAGTCCTGAGCATTTCCCGGCTGTCTACCCGAAGAAGGTGAGACTTCCCGGGTCGCCGTGGACGAGACCGACAGACGAGCAATGTCTGGCACATCCAGGGACCGAAGCGAAATCCTGTTCGATGCGATGCTCTTCCGCCGACTGCTCCAATCGGCGTTTTGTGTACTGGCCTGGCCTTGAGCAAAAGCTGTAAGCCCCGTAAGTAACCGGTCCGCCTGGAGTTGGCGACGCGCAGCCCGGACGTATTCCAGGTGGTGTGCTACCGAATTGGAAATTTCATGAAGACCCGCCAATTCGACCTCGCCAAAAGATGGCCGAGCCTGAGTATCTACAGCACCATATGTACCAATGACTTCCCCGGATGAGCTGCATACCGGAACCTCCGCATAGAACCTGGCACGGGGATGCTGTTGCAGGAAAGCGTGTGGTTTGACGTCGGTCTGCACGGAAATATCTCGGATAATGGTGCATGTGTCCTTGGGTGGATGGTGGGAATGAGATATCACCTCCTCGTCGGAGCGTAGACCTAATGTCATGAGTCCTAGAGCAGATGCCTCGTTGTCTCCGAGAACAGACGACCCTGCTTCCGCGATGACGTGCGTCTGCCCGTTCTCGAATGACGCCACAAACGCACATTTGCAGTTCAGTTGCAAGACACCGAGCCGAGAAAGAGCGGTCAGGGTTGGGTCTGGAGGGGGACGAGGTTTCGATGAGCTGTCTGGCTTGTCGGCTGGCGACGACGCCGACAGCGGCTGCGGCAGGCCATCCGTGCGGTCTATAGCCTGGAAGCTGAATACCCTGCCCAAGAGTCCAACTTGTTAGTCGATTGTCCAGTGCAGTGGGATGGCAAAGGCAAAAGGCCGGTTGGGGCCGTCAGATAGCGGCAAGAAGAGATCCTACTTGGTCTGATCTGGAGCCATCGAGGGCAGAGCTAGCACGTCGCTATTCGCAATAGCTGAAAGCCAGAGTCCTTATGGCATCGCAAGTGATGATACGAGCTCATCCGACGACCGCGGTGGGAAGGAAGATGATGAGGAAGAATGACAGGCACAGCGAAGAGGTTAGGCTATATCGTGTGAGTGCGTGCAAAGGGCCGAGATTGCCGCGCAGCTTTGAAGGTCAAATAAAGTTGAGAAATTGGCCACCGTCGGAGCTGAACAGGAAAGCCCCCCCAGCCCAGCAGCCAAGTGGGCTTAGAAGTGGAGTCGGTGCGGAAATGGGTCTAGGCCGTCCAGCGTATCCGCTCATAGGGTCGCAGCTTGGGTAAGGGGATCATCGACGGCCCCAAATCACTCGGTGCGTTGGCTTTCTACCTAGTGAATTCCCGGGAACGACCGTTGGTGATCCACGGTTCGACCATGACGACTCTGAGCGCATGATCCGGCCGAAAAGCTTCCTGTGGGGGAAGAAATTCGGCTCCGAAGTATTCCCTGCGAGGCGCAGAATAAGGATATCTGTCAATCGGAGAAGCCTAGCGAGATGCTTGGGAGGAATTCTTTCCCGAGAAAGCGGGCTCGGGGAGTGGAGGGACCGGCGATGGGGCTTCGTGGAGATTGCGCGAGAGGGGAGGTTGTAGTGGGAATGTGGGATCGGTGGAAAGTGGATAACTGAATAGATAGATGGAAGGAAGGACGGATGTAACTGTGCTCACGAGCAAAACGATAAGAGGGGAAAAAAAAAAAGAAACTTAGCGAGAACTCCACAGTTGACTTCAATCAATAGAGTTGTGCACGATGTGGCCGGAAAAGGCAAAGAGGAAAGGAAGGGAGAGAAAGAGAAGAAGAGAAAATAGACTAGGCGATCGTCGGGGGAACGAAGAACGAAGAACGAAGTAACAACAAAGTCGCCCGCAGCTCGCGGCTTCAATCCCGATTCCCGCCCGTGCCGGCCTAGTGGCCTGGTGGCCTGGTGTGGTTGCCTTCATTCATTCTCAATTTCAGCAGCTTCTTTCACTTCTAAGTTCGGTTCTTGAGGTTCTTGCCTCATCTCTCCGCTTTCAACACCCCGTGTGCCTGAGGCAACAGATTATTGATTATCTACTCATGATTAGTTATGTTATTAGTTAATATTCATGGTGATGATTCACGATTTGAAATCTTAGAAATCCCTCATAATGGTAAATCCTCGCAGGCACTGCGAATTGCACTCTCAACGTATCTCCAAGGTCCCAGGTCCCAGATGGTAATTATCCCCACCCCACCAAACTACTAGAAACTACTAGTTAGTGGGAAAAAGTACTTTTACCCATCGGGGCTAGACCAACACCTAACTATAGATTGAACTATAGAGATGGAAAGTACGGAGTACTCCGTATCTAGAAGGTCTTTAGACAGTAGAAACAGGCGTGGAAAAGTGAGCTATCATCGTGCTTCTGAGACAGCTGCATGATCCGCTGTCTGCATGTCCGAAGAGCACCTTTCTAGCCTCACATGTGGGAAAGAATAAAAAGTTGGCAGGCCAGTGATCCATCCCACATATCGATCGGTAGTATCCGATTCCTAGACCAGGGATGAACTGTCCTATCGGCACGGAAGGAAACCTGAAACCCACAATACCTAACACCGCCCGGTTCACCCCGTACCCGCGATTGATGTATCATCGCCGGGTACCAGCGCTAGGCTGATCTACCGGCTCAAATCAAGGAAATGGCTCGAATGCATTGCCATGCATCGAGCGCGCTGTACGTCTGTATCGAATCTTGGCTATTGAGGTCCAGGGGTGGTAGTCCACGCTGTTGTCGCGTATTCCATTCGTCCAGATCTTCAACCGCTCGCCGGCCAAATGAGCTATTCCAAATCCTGGGTACCGAAGGATCAACTAGTCCTGTCTCTTTTGTCTTTCGCCGATATGTACTGTACCCGTAGCAAAGGGGAGCGGCAAAGGTAGGCCCCAATGCCAGCGTCGCCCAAGCAGCGCAGTGTGCCAGGCCTTGCATGTCACAGCCGCAAAAGGACAGTGTTCGATCATGCGCCAGGCACTCTTTCAAAACGCCATCGGGTCTATATCTGCATTGATGGAGAAGAAAGCCTCCAGATCCATCGTGGAGAAATCAAAGTCCCAGCCCATGTCGGATTGGGTGAAATCGAGAAGATCATCTCCACTGCCGACGCTACCGCTGGGGATGCGTATGCCATCCTGTAACAGATTCCCTTGTAGATTAGACAGCATGGGGAGGTTCCCTGCTACCGCCGGATCCCCGGGTGTAGCCATTGGCATGAGGCTCTGCCCTTGGTTGGAGGCGGAAGTCGGATGGTGCTGTGGGTTTACAGGGGGCGTGTGCTCATAATCATATATCTGGCTTTTGGTCGTCTCCGGTGCTACCCACTCGTACGAGGGGTGGATTTTCCTTAGGACAGTCTGAATGGCGGTGATAGAACTCTTGATCGGATCCCCAGGCCGCATCTGCGACATGCCTTGCACGGCAGCATGTATCCAAGGCAAATGTGTGGCCGCAAGATTCTCACCGTGCATGAGGTCGTACATGAGCGCAAAAGATGAGTTGCCTAGGAAATAGCCATGATACCGCAGTTCCTATAAAAAGTCATCAGCTTTGTGATGCTCTAATAGAACGTTCAAAAAACAACATACTCTGACCAGTTCATTGCATGCCGATGCTTCGCATAAATGATGAATGGTCCTGCATGCAGCGCTGAGGGCTTGGTTGCAGGCTTCGTTGAGCCATGAGGGAATTTCAGTCGCTCGTTTCGTCGCCGCAACGCATGATGACCGTTTCATATCCTGTTGCCACCGTCCACGAAATATCAGAAATGGCCGAAAGGTGAGAAGAATTGTGTGATAATATACTGTAGCAATCAGCAACTCCGTCAGAATCCTGGTTTCACGTATCTTACGAGTGGTCGCAATGATCTGTCGCACCCCCAAGCTCCCTGGCTGGGCACATTTATCCAGCCCAAAGCCCAGCGCTTGTCTCATCAAGCAGTCGAATCCGCGGAGCTCGTCGATGATCGATCTAGCAATCTTCCACATTTGCAGCAAGGACTCATGGCGGCGGCCGTACATCTCAGACGCTGATCGGGCAACAATCTTGCCAAGGCTGATGAGGACCTGGAGGAAAGAATCCTCAGGAGGAGCGATACTGGCATCCTTCAATGACAGTGAGCTTGGTCGTCCCAGATGGAAGCACGTCCAGCTTTGCATTAAATCAGCGGCGAGCAAGACACAGTACATGACAGAGGCTGGTCTCTTACATCTCGTAGAAGCAGAGGGACCAGAACGTCGCACGTCGTTCTTCGGTGCTATCGGCGGCGTCTTCGCCCGTGCTTGGGGCTTCCTTGTGCAACCCAGCTGAGATAGCCTTTCGTGTAGCGGTGCCCACGAGCAGGAATGTTGAGTTGGGCCGGCCCTGTTCGCTTTGGTAGTGAGCGTGCTAGCAAGAGAAGTCAGTGTCGTCGTCTCGCAACAGTCTAGAAGACCACTTATCATGATGATCGCCAGTTGAATGGTCTGTAAGTTCACGACATCCTCAAGTGAATGCATGGCTAGCTTGACGCGGTCGTATAGCGTATCACCCCAACTGTGATGCTGAGTGGCTAATGCTCCAATCGCCATGGCCACAAGCAGAATTGACTGGGTAACCTTATCGGGGCGAGCATCCGGCCCTTGGCCATACATCTGAGCCAGCTGGTAATAGAATTCTTCCTTGGGCCACATGGGGGCCAGATTGTGCAGGGTAGCCAAGTACCGTTCGAGAAAGCATTTGGCTAGCTCATAGGGCAAGAACAACAGCTGAGAATCCAAGCCCGCCAGGGTCTTGTTTGCATCATGGGAATCTGTGGGTGTGCCGAAGAAGATCCGGCGAAAGCTGAACATGTCCAAGCCGGCCCCGGCTTCTTCGACCTCACCCTGGGGCCGATCCACCTCGGCCGACTGACTGTTTGCCACCAAGCCTCTGTAGACCTCGTGCATGAGGGCAAAGTGCGAGGTGGAGCCATAGTACAGTTGGACCTTGCATGAGGGCGATGTCATGTGGGTGGCTGAGACGCTGTTGTTGACGTTCAAACTGACCGATGGGTTCCGCCGACGTGCTTGTACTTGTGCTTGTGCTTGTGCTTGTGCTTGTGCTTGTGCTTGTGCTTGTGCGTGGTGGTGTGACGGACCGGGAGACCACGGCTGCCGCGCAGCACTGCCTTCGTCGGGCCGGGTAGTGGTAGTGGCAGTGGTGGCCCCATCAGACCCAGGCCTGTCAGGATCGAGCCTCCCTTGATACTGGTATCTCTTCCTCCGCTGGCGGATGACATCGCGGTAGATGCACGGGGTCCCCCGCAATTGGCAGGTTTTGCAGGGGTTGACTCCGTTGCATTTGATCTTCCGCTTCCTGCACTCCTGACACGCCTTGGCGATCCGCCAACCCGTTGATTGAGCCGGGGACTCGGCGTCAGCCATTTACACTGGGCAAGTTGGCTGGTTGAGTCGTTGTGTCTTGTTAAAATGGAAGGTTCATCGTGATGCGTCATTCATTGGGAGGCAGTTGAGAGGATCGGATTTAGATCACGTGAATTGATCCGTTATTCCGGGCCAGATCCGTCCTAGCCTGAAAGACGGACTCGACCAAGAGGTTTCTTCTACAGCTTGACTACAACCACTTCCATCGATGTGTGTGAGATAAAATTCAGTTCCGTTTATTTACATCTTCGAGCTGCAATGGCAATGATGTATACCACTTTTGCAAAGCCCTCGACTAAAGCTGAGATACCGTGGGTTGGGCACGGAAAAAATATATGTTCAGGTCTGCAGCCAGGTTATGAAGGCTGAAGCTTGTTGCTGGTGCTACAACAAGTGATCCAAATGCATGGCTCCTAGGCTATCACTTCCCAACACTCTTTCTGGCGTTGGCGTTGGCGCTGGTGCTGGTCAAAGTCGCCTAGACCTGTCAAGCTATATTGCTAATCTCTGTTTTCAAACCTGAGACTGGTCAAGAGTATAGCAAAAGTTTAGCGAGAGAAGGAAAATCTTGAAGCATGGCATTTCCTGGAAACCAGACATCCGGATCAAAACGGAAATCTCGACGATCTGGACCGTGCTAGCTTGACTTTCTCAAGCTGGAGGGCATCTGTCCAACGCCACGGCGGAGCGACTGGATGGCATCGCGGAGAGTTTCTTGGCAACGCCACTGGGCTCAAAGGACCTCTCCCCTCTCCCTTTGTCCGGGGGCAAGATCACAAAGCGCTTGAGCCATTGTCAGTGGCGAGAATCTCGGATATTCCGACTAGAGTTGAGTTGGTATCGTTGTCGTTGGCCTCTATATCCTCCGCTGGTTGGGATGTGTCACGCTGCCAAGATCCAAATCCAACCACCAACTCTCCGGGTGTGTCTGTCATCGATTCCTCTTTGACTCGTTCAATACGACGTTTCAGGCCCAAATCGACGTACACCGGCAATTGCACACCTTGGTCTCCTCCGTGAGAATACCGTCTGCCTCGGCTAATTCACCCAAGAAGACTGCAGAGACTTTCCGATCATGTATCAAACCTTTTGCCAAGGGAGATTTCCCACGGACAAGGGACTCCTGTCAGGTCTTGGCCAGTCCGGGGTTGCGGGGTTGGGCCAAACGCGGGGAAAGCTGCCACCTGCTTCCTTAACCCTCGTCTCTCGTCGTCTTCCTCTTCGGCTAACTGTCTGTACTGGATTGATGCGAACTCTGATCTTCTCCCCGGATCATTGATTGGTTCTCAAGGGGTGGCTCCAATCTCTCCAGCCGTGATGATCGGGGGGGAAGTCACACGGTTGGGAGTCCCCTAGACACGTGGAACGGCCATTCACTGGATGGAACAGGAAGAGACTCTTTGGGCCCTCGTAAAAAGATGCTTGGCAAAAACGCCATGATAAGAACCGCGCAGACTAGCCGATGCCCGTCATAACCATGACGCGGACATCCCGACTATAATCCTATCGTGTCAAGGTGCGAATTGCAAAGTCTGGACCGCTTGTTATTATTGCCGTTTGAAATTGCCGTTAACGAGCAGTGAGAAGGCGAAGGAAAGCTATAAAGTGGTCGATTTGGGACAGTTGGTTGTTGGTTGCTAAGGTGGTGCAGGATCTCTCCTCCGCACTTTCTTTCCTCCCGCCTCCCTTTCCATCTTCCCCATCTTCCCCATCTTCCTCGAGCACCGTGACTTGAACGATGCAAAAAGATTCAATGGCTTCTGAGAAAGGCATCACCCACCACCAGGAAGACGTCTTCACTCAAGATGCCTCCAAAGCCGCTGGTCAAGGCCTCGCAGCCACTGATCAGTATGGACGAGCGTTGATCGAATTCGATCCAGCAGCAGAACGCCGCCTGCGCCGCAAGATTGACCTGTTCATCCTCCCCACTGTTTCGCTCATCTACCTCTTCTGTTTCATCGATCGAGCCAACATTGGTAAGCATTGCTCCATAGAGGATACAATGCGCGTGCCTCTGACCACCCTCTACCATAGGAAATGCCAAACTGGCCGGTCTCGAGAAAGACCTAGGCTTCACAGGCTACGACTACAACATCGTCCTCTCAGTCTTCTACATCTCCTACATCCTCTTCGAAATCCCCTCCAACATCGCTTGCAAGTTGATCGGCCCGGGCTGGTTCCTCCCCGCGGTGACCGTCGCCTTTGGCATCTGTTCGCTGGGCACGGCGTTCGTCCAGAACAAGCAAAGCGCCGCCGGGGTGCGCTTCCTTCTTGGAATCTTCGAAGCAGGCATGCTGCCTGGCATCGCCTACTACCTCTCGCGCTGGTACCGTCGCAAGGAGCTGGCCTTCTACTTATCGCTGTACATCGTGATGGCCCCGCTGGCGGGGGCGTTTGGTGGGCTGCTGGCCTCGGCGATCCTCAAGATCGACCACTTCGGCAGCCTGCACACGTGGCGCATGATCTTCGCCATCGAAGGGATCATCACGATCGGGCTGGGGCTCCTCGCATTCGTGACGCTGACGGACCGGCCCGAGACGGCGCGGTGGCTCACGCAGGAGCAAAAAGACCTCGCCACCGCGCGGATCAAGTCCGAGCGCGTCGCGACGACCGAGGTGCTCGACAAGATGGACAAGGCCAAGATGATGCGGGGGATCTTCAGCCCGGCGACCCTCACCACGGCGTTCATCTTCCTGCTCAACAACGTCACGGTTCAGGGCCTGGCCTTCTTCGCGCCGACGATCGTGCGCACCATCTACCCGACCAGCAGCGTCGTCTCGCAGCAGCTGCACACGGTGCCGCCCTACATCGTGGGCGCCTTCTTCACGGTGCTCTTCCCCTTCCTGAGCTGGCGCTTCGACCGGCGCCTGCCGTTCTTCGTCCTCGCCCCGCCGCTCACCATCACGGGCTACATCATGTTCCTGGCCAGCACCAACCCGCAGGTCCGCTACGGCGCGACCTTCCTCATCGCCGCGGGGGCCTTCAGCTTCGGCGCCCTCTGCAACGCCCACGTCTCGAACAACGTGGTCTCCGACACCGCGCGCTCCGCCGCCATCGGCACCAACGTCATGTTCGGCAACGTCGGCGGCCTCGTCTCCACCTGGTCCTTCCTCCCCTCCGACGCCCCGGACTACCACATCGGGAACGGCCTCAACCTGGCCACCGCCTCCATGACCCTGATCCTGGGCGCGCTGATGTGGATGTGGATGCGCTGGGACAACCACCGCCGCGAGAAGATCGATATCGATCGCGCCTTGGCCGACCTCTCGCAGGAGCAGATCCAGGATCTGGACTGGCGCAACCCCGCCTTCAAGTGGAAGATGTAAATGTGTTCCCTGGGAGTGTTGTTTGGAGCTAGAGAGACTGACTGGGCGGGTCACGGGTGTTTCGGTTGGGTGTGACGGGTGTTCTGGAGCGCAAGCGTTTGTGAAGTTTCTGTATGTATGTTAGGTAACTGTTTGATCACATGTCCTCCGGACTGAGTACTATTCTACATGTTATACATCCAATATAAATATGCTAATTCGATGTATACATTTCAAAACCGTTGACTGGTTCCAGACTATCAGAGCGGCATCCCGGCAGGCATTGCACTACCTACAGTAACCTCACGAGCCAACGAATTGACTGGACCAGCGCCTCCAATTCGTTATAGCAAGTCATCCATTCTATCGAGTCGGTGCGCAATTCCTCTCTCGCGACGTCCCTCATTCTATCAATTCTATCGACGGAGTAGACATTCTGCAGTCCCGAACGGTTCTGCTTTCGTGATTATCAAGCCCAATCATGACGGGGCGGATCCTCAGAAATGCACGTCAGCACAAACGTCACCTCACAAAAGATCCATCGAAGAGAGTATAGCAGAAACGTAGGGTATTGTGGAAATGCGTCGGAAGGCCACGATCCGGCAAATTGAGACTGACACTCGTTATGGCGTGAGGTTGCTGTAGTGAACGTTGATACGTGATGCAGGTTGATCAATAATCCCGCTATTGTTATATGGGCGGCGTACAGTTAGCTTGCCGGTGCGATGTTTTGTCATCCATAATGTATCGTATATTGGTCTATATAGAAAAAGAACTCTAGACCCCATTTTGAAAACATGCATATCTTACAGGCTGTATATACTCCCCAGAGAATTGCACAGTATTCATGCTCGACCACTACCCATCTATGCATCTACTGCTTCTATTATCTTTTCCTTCGGGCAAGACGCTAACTCAGATTTATATGTCCTTCCTCGCGTACCGACTGTGCTTCTTTCGCAACGTCTCTCCGTACTAAACACAAACGCGTCAGTATCACGCCCAAGAGGCTATCAATCACCCGGGCGGAGGGAGAGGGGAAAGCTTACCTTCATTAAGACATACGGAATCGGGATAAAGACAATCGACAAGAACGCCAGGGTGGAGCTGGCCCACCCCACGCCCAGATTCTTGTACATGGCCGACGCAAACAGGGGGAACCCCGCGCCGAACGCCGACCGGAACAGGTCGTTCCCCGCCAGGACCGACGCCGCGTACGCCGGATACGCATCAGGCAGATAGTTCAACACGGGGTTGAAGAGCAGAAAGGCGCCGAGGCCGAAGAACCCCGAGCCGACGATGGGCATGATCCAGTGGATGTCGGGGCGGGCGCTCCAGCCGAACCAGAACAGGCAGATGGGAATGCAGCAGCCGCCGACGATGGCGGGCGGGAGGCGGGCCTCCGGGGCGATGTTGCCGTTCTCGTCGAAGCGGGGTTCCAGGTATTTGTGCATCCACCAGTAGTACGGGGGCAGCACGAGGAGGACGCCCACGAGGATGCCGATGAAGGCGAGGCCTTCCTGGCCCAGGTTGAAGCCGTAGATCTCTTCGAAGACGATGGAGAAGGACTCGAACCAGACGTACAGCAGGCCGTAGATGAGCGCGATGTAGAGGTTGAGGAGGAAGACCATGGGCTCGAGGAAGTTGAGGGTGAGCGGGCGAACGAGCGTGATCATGATCAATTCGCGGCCCATCAGCCCCTCGCTCTCGATCTCGGGCTCGCATTTCAGGTTCTCGCGGCCCGTGAGTTTGCGGAGGCGACGGGCTCGGCGGTACAGGATGTTGGCCGACGAGGTCTCGGGCAGGAGGAAGACGAGCATCACCAGCGAGAAGCCCGACAGCCACATGAGCTCCCAGATGGTCCAGGTCCAGCCTTTGGCTTGCGCGGCGAATCCTCCAACCAAGGGTCCGATGACGGGGCCGCACACGGCGCTGATTCCCCAGATACCGATCGCGTAGGCGCGTTTCGCGGGGCGGAACATGTCGGAGATGGTTGCGCCACCCTGCTCAGAGTTAGTACTGATTCTTTCTTTGAGATGGATAGAAACGCACGGTGGCTAGGGCGGGAGAGCCGAAAAACC